CTTTAATTTACTCTAAGCAAAATTGCAGAAGAAAGCATTGACTCTGCAGGACCCCAACAGTAGTCGCCTCTTACGACAACCTTCTTTGGGATAAAGCAGGCCCATTATTTTCCTGAAGCAGCAGTATGCTTGTGGCTATATGTCCTAAACGCATGTGGTGACATATAACCCCAAACATGCAAATATATCTTACGCAAATTATCACTTTCAGTGGTTGTTATTTTACTTTTACTGGAGAACAATTTCTACAAGCTGATGAAAAAAAGTAAGCACGTTACTATGATGGTGTCAACAAACTTTCCTCAGTAGCAAGCAATAGCTAACTGCTGATTTCCACTTGTCATATGTTACATTAAGAATGAAACTCTGAACTGGCTATGCTGTATCAGTATAAGCAATATGTAGTGTTTATGCTTTTCGGAGCTAGAACCGATGCTTTCATTCTTTTCACTCTGCTGCTCGAACCGTAAGGAATATAATATGAAATACTTTTATTTTTTAAATATTCAACTCTCAACCAACCTTCATTCTCATCTTATTTTATTATGATAGACCACTTGTGTTTATTATATAAGTCGTTACTAGACTTTTGCCCACTCATACTGGTACGTTTTAAAAGTATACGCATACGGATAGTGAGTAAATACCACGGTTAATGTTCCAATGGGGACAATGACCTAGCTGCTGCCACACCTTGAGAGCTAACATATTGATTGGCCATGAACTCACGACATCAGGGTTTCCCAACTGGCTTTTCGACAAGATTTAAATCGGACGAAAAGCTATCAGTTCGATAACTGCAACCGCGGTTGTAAGGTTTTATATCTATTTAACTGGGGAAGTGTCTCATTTATTGCTCCCTTAGCACATGAGTGGATAGTTTAACAATGCACCTTTTGAGAAACACTGGTTACAATTGATAATTTATTAGTGCTATGGATTTCTGAAACTGCCTGGGAATCTTTTCAACGCAGGATGATATCAATTAACATATCATAAGTTAACAATACACCCGCCTTGTCAACTTGTTACATTGTGCCATGATTTCCATAAATTCTCTTGATGATGTCTTAATATCTTACCGTCTAATGCTAATCAGGACTTCTTTGTTATTTGAAATCTAATAAAGTCGTACGCACATTGACATTGCTCAACAGATACAATAGTCATAGAACAACAGGACAAAACACAAAAGCAGAATCACATCGCTAGGGCAATGAGCGCATGTTCAAATCTGGAATGGGAGCTAAAACGGGTTCGAAAACAGTGTCAAAGTAATATAAGAGAAGAACAAGAAAAAGTCAATGAAGGTTAAGAACAAAACCTAAGGTCAGGTGGTCATCCTGTATATAAAGGGTGTATCCGAAACTATCCAGAGGATATATCGCGGTGTTGGCATAGCAACAGCCATGAAGCTCCAAGAGACGCTTCGCAAAATCCTAGTTCACCCTAAGGATAAAACAACTAACAAGAACGCCCCAGAATGCGTATACAGAATCGGTAGCAAAAACTGCGATGCATCGTATACTGGAGAGACTGGAAGGTGATTTGGGGTCCGCCTTGGTGAACAACGGAAAGATACGGAAACCCAAGAAGGTAGGACATTCACCAGATCAGAAAAGAAGCAGTCGGAGTCCCAGATAAATAAATCGGCAATCACAGACCATGCCACACAGGAACATAATGTGATTGACTGGGACAACTCCAAAGTTTTGGACAGAGAGAGCAATCTGTTCAAGCGGCAGATAAAGGAGGCCATCTGGAGACGCCGCAGTGGGCCAGTTCTAAATCGAGATGAGGGGGCTCAAAGACTCTCGCACATCTTTGACCATGTTTTAAACAAAGTGTAGCCGAATCGAGTCATTTCGGTACATATATAACAACTATTGTACATTCGCTTACAGCGTAGCCGAATCGACCCGATTTGGTGGACAACTCGTACACATTTTACACCTTTGTGTGCATACGCTTCACTTGCCATTTGTCTTATGAAAGTGACAGTGTACATATCGCACTAGTCATCGAAACGTCATATTGAAAATCTTATTGGTTGTGTAAAAAGAACTGTTCATATTACATTCCTACCCATAACCGTAATGATATTTGAGAAAGCTATTGACAAAAATCCTTATATCTTGTTCCTGTTTTTCCCCCAAGAAACCTTCAATCAGATATATAATAAGGTCATGCCATTGCAATTAGCTGAATGCTGTGTTCTTAACGTTTGTTTTGTTTTATAGCAGCACGTGGTTAAGTTTCCAAAGCTCGCGCGTCAATATTATAAAGAGAAATAGCTCTTACCTTAGTTGCTGATGATGCAATATTCAAACACATCGTCCATAAAAACGTGCTATTCTGATTTCCCATATTTTCCTCGTGAAATAAATTTATTTCTGAACTCGAAATGATCTGAAAATAACTTAGTGCTCTGTATTTCGATTATTATTGAAACGAAATAAAGGATTATAGCTGTTTTATCGCTTCAAACTGTCAAGCTAATTAAAACATATAAAACCAAACATTAATTGAGGCAGATAAACGTTATCGTATTGTAAGATTGATGAGGATCAATAGAGTAAATGTGTCCGAATAACTTTGCTAATTTAGTAAGGTTGGATGTATATACAGTGGGTAAATTAGTCTGAGTTACTTGGTCAGCTCTGTAAGGTAACTTTACTAATTTAGTTAGGCTGAATGTATATACAGTGAGTAAATAAGTCTGAATTAATTGGTCAGCTCTGTAAGGCTGGATGAATATACAGTGGGTAAATTAGTCTGAATTACTTGGTCAGCTCTGTAAGGCTGGATGTATACACAGTGGGTAAATTAGTCTGAGTTACTTGGTCAGCTCTGTAAGGCTGGATGAATATACAGTGGGTAAATTAGTCTGAATTATTTGGTCAGCTCTGTAAGGTTGGGTATGATGAGTTTGAATAGCAAAACCTCACTGTAACACGAGTGTTGTGTGCGATACACTGTATGCGTGACTCCCATGGTAGCATTCACCTGGACCAGCGTCTCCGTTTCGTTACATGTTGATTAATCAGCATGTAACTTACCCATGGTCTGTGATGATTTCGGGTAGGGTATCACTATCACTGGTGTCCTAACAAACCAATCAATATGTGATGTACGATACTTGTAAATATACAGTTACTGTTAACGTTGTAGTTTATAATTATGGTTTTGTCTAAGTTTTTATCTCTTCAGTGACGGAGAATAGTATTAATTAGAAGAATTTTAAATATAGCTATATAATTTGTAAAAAGCAGAACATTTAAAAACGATATAATTCTTTAAATGTATAATTGATACAAAAAGGTATTAATGGGCGGATTGATTGAATGTTTGACACTTCGGCCTCCCATGCAGGCGGCCGGGTTTCGAACCCCGGAGTCGTCGTTCACATGAAATATATTCAGAAAAGGTATTTTTCTCCTGATCATGACCACACAACTCCACGGTGAAGCATAAACTGGTCCGGGATGGATGTTGCGGTTTTTGTGCTGTAGCATTCAAGTAAGGTGGCACTATAAATGATGCCGTTGGAAGCACGGTCCCACTACAAACAGATCACACTGCATCTCCAGAACACACGCAGGCATACACACATAGGGAAATATTGCCAAGTGGCATATGACTAGTAGTTAGCGCCTGATAAGACAGCTTCTGCGAATTCTTCATACTTGTTTTGATTAATGTTATGTTTATTGTATCAATTTATGTCTATATGTTTTAGAGTGACTTATTCAAGCTGGATAGGGCGCTATATCAAATGTTGTATATTATTATTATTATAAATGTTATCATAACATTTCCTTAGTCACAATGACATTGTCATTCCTTTAAGGTTCAATATATTGATTTTGTCAGAATGGCATTGCCCCTTCCTTTGATGTTGAATATAATCGATACTTTAACTCTGCAAAATATAATTGCCCCTACTGTCAGGTTGAGTATGATCAGTACAGTAACCTTGACAGAATAACATTGCCCCTCCTTTAAAGTGGAATATTACCAAATATTGGAACTTTTTTAAAATATCATTGTCCCTCCTGTAGGGTTGAACATAATCAATAAATTAACTTTGTTATAATATCATTACCCTGCCTGCGAGGTTGAATATAAACAATAGTGTAACGTTGTCAAATATCATTACCCCGCCTGCGAGGTTGAATATAAACAGTAGTGTAACTTTGTAAGAATAGCATTGCCCTTCCTGTGAGGTTGAGTATCATAGATAAAGTAATTCTGTCAGGATAGCATTATCCCCCTGAAAGGTTGAATATGATAAGGATAACGTTACTCCTCCTGTAAGGTTGAATATGATAAGGATAACGTTACCCCTCCTGTAAGGTTGAATAGTATACAGGTGGTTAACGTCACGTTGGTTGAATATGACCATTCATGTAAATGAATATACATATTTTCTCGGAAACGTTGATGCCATTTCGTTTACTGCTCCAATACATTTAAATTATTAACGAATACATAGATTTGTGCTTACTGGCAGTGCCTTTGTGTTTCTGTGTCATTTTGGCTTGACCGTTTCAAAAAATTTATTGACATCAAAAGTGTATGATACCTACCTCATTCATTTTACATGTTTTCGTATCAGGATTATACATGTATTCGTTCTGCTCGGAATTCAGCATGGAATGAGTTTTGATTCTCGCATTGTGATTGTATATTTGTTTTCATAACCTTGAAAAACGGAGACGATTAATCTCAGTTTTTAACCAAATACCTATTTGTCGAGAACAGTTTTTGTAAATGATAGTAATATTAGGAAAATATAATATTTAGTGTAGATTGTATTTCATGACATTGTGATTGGGCAAGTGATGTATTGTAAATTGATCGTCTATACGGGTGTTATAGAGGATACCAATTGTGTAAGGTATTACTGTTCCCTCTCCATCCACAGTGTGATGACGAATTGGTAGATATGTATGCGTACAGTGATGAGAAAATTATTGTAAAAACTAGGTAACGACGTCTGTCAAAAACACATCTTTTATTGAAAAGTAAAACGACATCAGTCGAATTCATCACTCGCAGAGAAGCTACGCAATTATATTTTATAGATATATACGTACACATAATATGATTTTTATCATACTTAAACTGTATTCATTAAAAACTATCCTTTTACAATTATATCATTGAACCCATTCCTTGTCTATTACAGTTTATTATATCTGACAGAGTAACGTTATTATTTCTCTGAATAATTGAAAAAAAACGGCACAAAACCTACGAAAGTTACTGAAGTTGACCACTTTGGTCTTAAAAATGATATCCTTTTGCCAATTCTATGTTTGAAGGTTTTTCTCAGCGTGTTTTTATCAAACGTTACGTTTATATATTATATCAATTTTGTTCTTGATCTTTCATTAAGGGGTGAAATGATAGGTATTGAAATGTAATTAGAATCCATTCTTTATTTTAACGATTTAATATCTATTTGAATACAAAAATAATAACATTTTACATGTATTTTAGATATTTAAATAATGATAAAAAAGTAATATTTTATATATTTCACCAGAGATACAAACAACAATTATGCTAAGCTAAATCTCACACGACACAATGAACTTACACATTCTGATTCAAATTCTTTACACATGCATTTTCATTTAAAACATTTGCTCTTTTTAATTAGGTCAATGTATAATAAAGTGCACGTTTGTCATCAGCATAATTAATGTACGACTTTATTAGATGTCACGGCTTCTCTTCCAGCATTTAGTCTGACTTGATATTAACCGTCCCGCTCGTAGGGCCATAATACCTACAAACATATCGTTTAGCCGTAAGCACTTGTTAATTCACCAATTGAAAAATTTGAGTAAATCTTTAATCATTTTTACAACCATAATTGAATAGTTTATATTATGTGTTTACATTTTCTGTTCTCATGGCGCCGATTAAGCATTTGATATCAGTGATATCCAGACGTGTTTTTGTTTTGTTTTAGCGATCAGATAGTACCTAATAAATATTGGCATATGAGTTTCTGCTCCGGTAACTCGGCTGCTTCGCACGTGCCAGGACCCTGTACCAACCACGACCGTACCAGGAACTTGGAGAAGACAGGCCATAGTTGTTTCTGTTGCTTTTGTAGTTTACTCCATCCCCGTACGTGACGTATGGTGTAATCCTTTGACTTCCAGTCCATCTGCCGCCATTACTCCATGCACCACCCCTTCGAAATAGATTGAAAAGTGTATTGTCGTTTACTCTGCTTGTCTCGGATCTTCCCCAGTAATCTTGCGGGTATGTTGGTGCCACCCTTTTCTCAGAAGACGGAGCATCCATGGCTGAATCGTCATAGAACTGCCTTAGATTGTTGTAGTAGTCATCGTCATCTACTATCCCGCTGTATGCATCTGTAATAAACAGAACAGGTGAGTCAGAACACGTCCATTTATTTGTGCTATCTACTATGAAGCATGATCCCAGTTATTTAAATGATTAATGAAATGTATCAAGCCAAAATGTGGACAATGGTGATCTCAGTTGTGAAGACAATGTGGATATGCTGTCAAATATTTCTAAACATTTTATACAAATTGGTAAGTGTGGATGATTGGGGTTGTCTATCGATTTGTCAACTTGAGTGTCATTTCGTACAGGAATAACAACTAAGAGTACATACGCTTATAGTGTAGCCGAATTGACAGCGATTTAATTACCTGAACCAGTACACACTATCACCTGTTGGTGCAATATTTCACTGGACATTTGTCTGATGGAGGCGACATTGGTTTTGCTATATAAACCTCTATACAACGTCGCCCAAACTTAATATATGGGTTTACTTACATGATAAAACAAATATATGTATGAACTTTTGTACCTATTTATGTGTACAGCAAGCCTTTGTGCACCGAGTAAGCCACAACAATTAATCATCGGTAGAGTGAGATAATAGGGATATTACTATCACGAAAGAGAAACTTCACTATAGAAAATTCGAAATTATCTCACTTATCGTACAGCTTAGGGGCTGATAGATAAAAAATGTTGTTTTGTTCTTGATTTAGAAAGGTATACATGAATGACGTGTTCAATAAATTTTCTTATAATCTAAAGAAAACGTTTTTTCGATATTTCTGAAATTGAAGTTGAAAAGCTTGCCGTTTTTGGCAAATAAAAATCAATGCGGCCAGGAGATAGGCACAGTCTGTTCTCAGAGGAATGCCAACAGTCTACCGGGAAATCTTGTCTTCGAAATCAGCACGGATACTTTGAACTAGAAACTCAAGGATTCTCACGATGTCATCCTCAATTTATTTTATCATCCGGGTATTATCGTGCTTTTTTTCGCAAAACATACTCCAAAATAGCTAGCAATCATATATTCATATTGCCTTTCGGCTTTCATCAGTAAGGTATGATGTACAGCACATTTTTGTAATGTAGTGTATTGTGCGGCATAATACAGCTGTAGTTCTAACTTAATGTTACTAAGAAGTGTGGAAATGTAATCGCTTGGTAAAATAACTATTTTAACCAGCGATAAAAAAATGTTAAACAAGGATTATTTAAATCTTTTGTAATCCAATACAAACGAAGACAGGTCCATATCTTAATCATTAACGGTAGAAGAAAATATTGTCATACAGACGCATGATGAGATAATATTTTATTTTTTTTCGAAAATTTGGGAAATAGTTGGGTTTTCTTGGATATTAAGTAAGCTTAGGAGTTTTACAAGCAGTAAATGTAACAGTGTTTGTAAAAAAAATATGATATTTTATCTGTCGACATAACTTCATACGTCTACCAATCATACAATTCGGTTTGTGTTTATCGACTATCGGGGACAGAAAATATCGACTATCGGGGTCAGGAAATATCGACTATTGTGGTTAAGAAATTTCGACTATCGGGGTCAGGAAATATCGATTATCGGGGTCAGGAAATATCGACTATCGTGGTTAGGAAATATCGACTATCGTGGTTAGGAAATATCGACTATCGTGGTAAGGAAATATCGACTATCAGGGTCAGGAAATATCGACTATCGTGGTTAGGAAATATCGACTATTAGGGTCAGGAAATATCGACTATTAGGGTCAGGAAATATCGACTATCGTGGTAAGGAAATATCGACTATCAGGGTCAGGAAATATCGACTATTAGGGTCAGGAAATATCGACTATCGTGGTTAGGAAATATCGACTATTAGGGTCAGGAAATATCGACTATTAGGGTCAGGAAATATCGACTATCGTGGTAAGGAAATATCGACTATCAGGGTCAGGAAATATCGACTAT